TATGATAAACCCATTACCCATTTAACTCGTGTCATGTACGTGTCGTGTTGACGGGTCGTGTCGAACTTTGCCATTCCTACGTGTGAGAACAAGCAATTCATCATTTGGTGCACTCTAGGGATTTCAAAATTCTAAAGTTCTTGGGCTCAAATTTGAGCTTTTTCTCTCATTTGAGGTAGGGATGTTTAATTCATGCATTCTTATTCTTTTGTGAATTTTCTAGTATGTGTTGTGCTCTAGCATACCTATTTTGTGGAAACTCTTGTAAAAATTGTTTAAGTGTTGTGTGTGAGATTGTGAAAGTAGAAGTTAATTGATGAATTATGATGATGCATGCTTAACATGAAATTAATTCCATGTTTTATATGTTTAACATGTTAAATTATGGTTGAATGAAGGCATGTCATGTTTTATTGGAATTATTTGTAAAACATGTTATGTTGTATAATTTTTAAACTTGTGTAAAATGATAAATGTTGGTACGATGCATCCATGTACCTCATTGGGAAGAAATGGGAATGATGTTTTGAGAAAAATGAAACGGGGTTTTCGGGAAGAAGTTTTATATATGGTTTTATAAAAAACCCGGTCACCTAGGGGTTACTGAAGGGCCGTGGTGTTAGTGAGGCCTAGAGGGCACTAGGAAAATTCTCCTTAATGTGTAGTTGAGCTATCTGGGCCCAAATGACACCACGGGGTTACCATGGGTCAGGGACAATAGTCAATCCTCCTCTCGTGTAGCCAGGGGGTCACCGTGAGACGGGTTTCACTAACGGTTTGGAAATGATGATGGTTATGATTTTGAAAAAGAAAAAAAAAATGGTGAGAGACATAGCACGACATGACATTGCATTTTATGGCATCTTCTTTCATGCTTGGGTTATTGGTGTGATTGTGTAATTATTTTCCCGGCATAGCATGATCCTTGTTCTTTTATTGCTATTCATGGTGTGGATTCACGAGGTTTCAAAAGGTGTGTCTTAAGCACTACCTACTGAGCTTTATGCTCACCCTATTATTTAATGATTTTCAGGACACGGAAAAGAAGTGGCGGATGACATTCCACCACAGGCCTAGCATGGATTAGATGATCGTTTTGTTATTTTTGTATCTAAGTCTCACTTTTTTTTTGTAAAACTTAACATAATGTATTTTGTATGAAGACTTATGGACCCTTATTATTGTAATTATATCCTTATTATTGTAAAGCTTGGACATTTGACCTTAACTTTGTATTTTGGGACTGTAATTATGACATTTGAATGAAATGGTATGTGATTGTTTTACCATGGAATGAACTAAGTTAAGGCATAATAAATGGAGGAAAGGGATGTTGAAATATAATATTTTGCATTGTGTGTTGGAACAGATTGAATAAGTTTAAAAGGCCCGAGTGAGGCTATTGTATATTTTTTTTATACATCTAAGCAGGTTGTTATAGGTCCCTTTTTAACAGAGGTCATGCAGATTTCTTTTTATAATTAGTATCATTTTAAAGTCGTTACAACTCCTGAAGTGCTTGCTATAAATACAAATATCTATTGTGTTTCTTTTCCTTTTTTCTCAGATATTGTTAAGCAATATGGAGAAATTAAGACTTCAGGTATCAGAGTATGATTATATGTATATCCTATTTGGGGAGTCGGAACTAAAAATGTTGGACCAGCAAGCATCCATAGAGGATCTTCAAAACAAGCTAAGAGAGAATCAAGCCGGCCACCAGCCTCCGCCGGATGTTGGGAGAGGCTGAGCGTTTGGTCGAACAGTATCGCCGCCAAATGAGAACATATGAAGGCGATATGAACACAAAGAGAGAGCAGATTATCAGGGACATGATGGAGATACGTTCACCACGACGACGGAGATTGCTGACATTGGACGACGTGAGCTTGATAGCAAAAGCCAAAGAGTGGTCGCCGGCGGGGTTGGGCGGTAGGGAGTTAAGTATATGCTATACAATGGGGAAAGTTTCTGAAAAGATAGGGAATACGATGAGGTTCGTCGGGGAAGGATATGGAGTCTTTGTGCCGGAGGTCAGAGATACCAAGTGTTATCTCAACTTCAGCAGGCGGCGAAGTACAACAGAGTCTATTTCATAATTTAGTAGTTTTTTGTGTATTATTATTATTATTAATAATTTCACTTTGTTCCAGTGCATCACTATTTTATTCTTATTGATTTATTTTTATAAAAGAGTTTCTATCACATATTAAACGAGTAGTTTTTAATGTAAATAATAATACTCTCTTTGTCCTAATATAAATGTTCTGAATGAAAATTTTAACTTTTTATGATAGTGGAGTTTCAATAATTTTTTATTGCATTGATAAGAGTGAAGATTCAAATATGTCAAGATAAAATAGTATTCCGTGATTAGTGCAATTATTTAGTTAAAAAGATAATTTGGAAATGTTAGAAAAAATAGTACATTCAAATTAGGAATAGGACATGTTTTTTGGGACATCCCAAAATGAAAATGAAAGATGGATAACTATTTTGAGATGAAGAGAGTACTAGTATTGTTTTCAATTTCTTTATTAATTATTATATTGAAAATACAATAATACTCTCCCTCCCTACCCTCTCAATTATTATAGGAATTAAATAAGTTTTTTTTTATATTATTTTTTTGTATATATGGTATTAATTAAGAAGTCTTGTTGAAGTTTATTACTAATTGAAACATATTTTCTTTCTCTAATAGGTTATTCTTTTTGAAGTAAAAAATTGATTGCAAAAGATATTTTAATTCTTTCTTCTATATTATATTGATTTTACTTAGTATTATTATTTTTTCATTATTTGAGTATGATTTTTTTTTTTTTTTTACTTAAATTATACCCTATTTACATTAATTATTTGAATTAGAAAAGACGAGATAGTAACACACTAAGAACATATAGAAAATCAGTACTCCTTAATTTTTATATATCTTTCATGAACAAAACCAATACATACTAAGCTTCGCAAGATTACAAGTCATGAAAGGTTTTTTGGGTTGTGCATCAAAATCATGCGATAACAAACGCACGTAATGATGCAGTTCACACGCAATAATGTGTGTTACAAAGCACATAATTGCTTGGTGTATATTGGGAGGAGTACATGTCTTGTCTGGTTGGGGGTATCAATGGTTAGAAACCAATGGTTGGTTGGTTAGTATTAAAAATGGTTATATTCGATGTATTCATATCTTCAGCACACATATTGGATGTCAACATGAATCTATTTTATCATAATTAAATTAAAGAATAACTGTAATAAAATTTTTAAGAAATTTTTTTTTGAACGGTTTCACATCTTGAAGACGAACACAACTGTGTTGAAAAACAAGGATTAGAGGATAGTAATCAAATATGATATTGAGATGGCACTGTCAGATAAATATAGGACTAAAAGATGATTTTTTTTTTTTTTGTTCTTTACCATCCGAAGACAAAAAGAGAAGTAAGAAAAAGAGAGAAATGAAACTCATGTCTCTGAATTTGAGGCCGAGCACATAACAAATTTATATAATTTACATAATAAATGTAGAGAATGTGTTTCTTTTCTAATATTTTGGACAGGTGATTTTAGAAATGGTGAGACTCCAAGTCCCTCTAAAAAACGCCATTTGACTTCTAACTATACATTTTTTTGGTTAGTCGTTTGAAATTCGTCATATTTTTTGTTCACTCTACACTTTCACAGGACGCTCGAAAATGGTTTTATAGGTTTGTGATATATACAAATGAACATATTTGAGTATGAAATCTCCATTTGAATGATTCGTGGTAGAAATTCCAACAAATAGTAAAAACATCATCCAATAAGATATTGGATCTCTAAATTTAATTTCCTCCAATATTACAATTATTTCAATAATTCTCTTCAAATTTAAATAGTATAAGTTCTAAAAATTCAAGAACAACCATTACAATATGATTCCAACTAATAGTGTTAAATACTCAATATTCATAGAATGTTTTTAAGATTGTGCATAAAGATCGTGTGATCTTTAAAAGCAGCAAACGCATGCAATGAAATCATTTTGTTCATGCGTAAAGATATTTACTAACAGCCATTATCAAAAATTAAAAATTCAGTCTTTCATTTAAAAAAATAATAAGAAGAAATAAGAAAGAAATATCTTTTGTATCATAGAACACCTGAGCATAAATAATTGTCTTGTCAATATAGAATTGGAGAGATAAGTAGATGTTAACTTTTAATTGCCTATATATGATTGTATATAATAATATATATATTATTAGAATTCTTACAAAGTGTGATTTAGAGGTAGACAGTGTGAAGATGCATTAAAACTACAGAAAGAAGAGGTATTAGTATTTAATAAATTGTCAAGCACTCACCTCCTCCTCATTTTCATACAAGGATATATAAGAAAAAATATCATTTCAACACATTGAATTCTTCTAATTAATTTTATATGAGATATATACAGAATGGACGAAGCTCATCAAATATATATATACACACAAAATGGACCAAACACAATGAAGTACAGCACAATTATATACGAAACTGAAATAAAGAAGTGACGCCATTCTCTAAGCGTGAATTTGATTTCATCTGCATGATATTTATAAAATGTAAACATTTCGTTTTGTTTGCTTGAAAAGGTAAAGAGTCTCATGGCACAAATACATCGTGCAGTTTGGAACGGTCATGGGTTATTAAATGATTTTGGAAGGAAATAAAGTTTAAGATCGAAAATCCACATGATTATAGAATAGTGATGGGAATAAATTACAATTTTGTAATTATATCTTATTTTACATTCAATAATTTAGGTATATATTAGTCAAATTCCTATTTTATTTTTCAGAAGTTTCTAAATATAGTTATACCTTAGTTTATCAGTAAGGATCAGTTTTTGTTGATATATGTCTTTTATTTATGTTCATGGACCAGTTTTGGTTTGAAGGTCTCTTTTCATTTATGTGATAAACATTACGTTATTTTTTATTTTTTTTTCAAACAAAACATTAGATGGTGTATATAATAAAACTTTGAGAAATATCTATCAAATTTCAGGCGGTTTACGAACAAGAAAATGCATCTCCAAATAAATAAAAATTACATGAATACAGGATCAGGAGATCGAATGTACATCCAATACATATCCTATCCAGTAAATACACCAAGATACTCCAAAACCATAACGGCACTTTCAATGTCACCAGTTCTATAGGCGCAGTCAGATTGACCTATTCTTCCCCTATTATTCGGGTTACAATGCCTACAGCAACAGTTCTTCCTGATGCTCTTAGGAATGCCCTCCCAAGAGCCCTACAGTTCGAGAACTCCTCAACACAAACCGCTCCTTGCAGAACCACCTGAAATATGAGAATACCCATTTTAGCAATTTGAAGAACTTGAGCTGCACAAACACAACGGTAATTATTGACATTGTAACAAACCTCAACTACTGCACTCTGCTTTGATGTTAGACATCGTGGTGACTTCTTTGTCACCTTTTGAGTCTTTGGATCGAGTAATGACAATAACTTTACTACCCTTGCAGCTTCCTTTGCATGATGTATATGAAACTCCAACTGCTCATTTCCGTGAAAAAGTTTATTTATATCTCCACAACAGAGTAAAACAATGAAGACAAGACTTAATCTACAGAGGATGTTGTTACCTGAGAGCCAATTAAGATTGGGGTTGTAACGTCTAAGACAAGAATCTTCAGTTCCAAATGACTTGCTACTGAAACTGGAAAATCTGGGTGGCATAACATACCCCCAGCCATCACATGGCTCTCATCAATACCTTGTAGACTGACAGCCACATTGTCTCCAGCTCTTGCAATGGCACAAGCCTGAGAATCACGTTCCAAGGAACGCACCATGCCCATGGCTCCTGATGGCATAACTAGAACCTATCACCCACACATGGACAAGTATTGTTATAGTAGTAGATTCAACAACTCTACTTTAGCAAATTATATCCTCAGTCTATATATACGGGTATAATTCATTTTTTTTTTTTTTTTAAAAAATGAATTTAAATATTTGGCAAAATAAAATGGAAACGTAAAAAATACAATAAATATACCGATATTGTACTTTTTTTAGTTAAAAATTCGGAAATTTGACTATACACATTCATTTTAATTTCATATCTTACCATTACATACCAATAAAAAGAATAAGGGTTAATTACAACGACACCCCCTGAGGTTTGCTATATTGACAGCCATGTATAACTTAGCCCTTTTTTGGACAAAGACACCCCACAGGTTTGCAAACTTGAACACAGACACCCCATTTTTAAAAAACGGAGCCAAACACGGCCTTAAGTGACATGAAATGTCTAATATGTCCTAAGATACATTTTAATCCACCTAAAATAACCAAACTACCCTCTCATCTCATCTCCTCTCTCTCTCTGTCGTTTATCTTTCAGTCCCTCTTTGAGTCACGGCGAAGAGGAACGGCCAACAAGGCGGTGTAGAGATCACTGACGGTGGAGAGCTCAGCCGGTGAAGACAGTCTGGTTCAGGCAAGGTGGTGTCGGCGATGGGCTGTGGGTAGGACTCAACCGTGATGGTCTGGTTCGCGGCTTGATGCGAGCTTGGTTTTGATGGCAGGTGGCTCGGATGGTGGAGAGATGGGGATGGCAGGGACGACAAACAGCTGGGCCGTGGGCGACAAGCTAGTTCGGCTCGGAACGGTGGTAGAACTGAATTGCCATGGATGACTCGCGGCGGCTGCCACTGTAGATGAACCGCGGCAGTGCTCGGCGAGACAGATCCAGCTTTGGCGACGGCGGCTTGTGAACACCGAGGTGGAGATGGGCTGGCTGTGACGGCGATGGGCTGGTTGTGGCTTTGGCTGTGAGCTTGTGGATGATGGCAGCAAGCTCTCTCAAACCCTGTACTCTTTCTCTTTAACCTCTCTCTCCAGGCAAAAAACGGCAAGAATGGAATACGTCGGAAAGATGGAGTTTTCTCTACCCATCCACCATCATCTCCACACACTACCCACCACCCCTGTTATCTTTTCTGCAATTTTTTTTTTTCAACCAAACCCTAGCTCTATCTACCTTCAAATTGACTCAATAATCTACATTAACATTAACTGAAATATTGGGGTTTTGTTTCTAATAATCAAATAGACTTTGTGTCGTCCGTGAAAGCCTCTTCGAATGTTGCCGTCGCTAGCTTCGAAAGAGTCGAAAGACCCCGTGTCGTCGTCATGAAAGTCTATTGGACTGTTTGGGTGGTCGTAGCCGCCAGAGGCTACGGGCTGGTTCGGCTTGGCGGCGGCGGCGAACAGCCCTGCGGTGGCCATGACAGTGAGTAGACAGTGGAGGAATGGACTGCGGCTGTGGATGGCTCGGATGAGGGCGACGGCAGGACGTGATGGGCTTGGCTGTGGGCCTGTAGCGGCTTGATGGACGGCGGGAAAGAAGGGCATAGGGAATGAATGGGAAGATAAAAAAAAATTCGAAGAAGAAAGTATTTTTTAGGATGAGGATAATTTGGTCATTTTACGTGGTCAAAGGGTAAACATGTACTTTCATCATGTTTAGGGTGTCATTGTTTAAGTTTGTAAACTTGGGGGGTATCTTTGTTAAAAAAAGGGCTAAGTTGTATATGATTGACAATATGACAAACCTCAGGGGGTGTCGTTGTAATTAACCCAAAGAATAATCAGTGGATTAAAATAATAAAGCTTCAATATAAGGCAAAAAATTCTGCACCTTTATTTGATAAAAAATCAATTTCAAGAATCAAGAAATACAATTCAAGTATGAACCTATGGACTGTCAAGATCTTTTCAAGAATTTGTACACTTCCAAACTAACAAATGCACACCCCACAACCAGTCACCCACTCCTCACCACAAATCTACCAATTCACCAAAATTTCTGCAGTGCTTTTTTCCCTGGAAAATATCTTCATAGTTGATATACATAAGATAGATATATATGCCCATATGATTTAACAGGAACATAAATATACATGCATAGTGTTTACTCTATAGTCATACAGATAAAAGATAGAATTTTGGCAGAAAATATATGCATTAGTATACTACTTGGCAAATATTGAACTTTCACATAAACTGTTGTAGTTATATATATAGCAAAATATATATTTATATGTAATTGGAGAGAGAAAGAAAGGAGCATTTCGTAAGGAGTGTCTGGTAATGAAGCTTTTACAACTTAAGGACTTGAGTGAAGATGGACGATGGAGAATGGAGAATGGAGAATGGGGAGAGAAAAAGCATGACGATATTTGCCAAGGTGTTTCAGTTTTGAGTAAAAATTGGAACTGAAAGATAGGGTTAGGGCAATTGGAATTATCAAGATCTTTTATATATACATGTATATATACATTATATATACTCCTCGTCTGATACCGCTATGGGACCCAATTGAAAGAGTTTTATACTTCGATACAGTTGCAAATAGATAAAACGTGTATTTTACACAACAAATGGGAGTTGGACACTATACGGAAGTTTTTTTTAATAAAATTGTAAGCGTATTATTAGCGTACAATACGCAAATTTACCAAGTTCAGAAGAAATTAATTAAATTTCAACTATGAGAGAGGCCTACATCCTACTCTGAATAAATAAATATATTTTCAAAAAAGACCAACATGCCATTTAATTTAAATACTTTAAAATAACTAAAATAGCCAGCTGATTACATACCTTATATCCACTTCGAAGTGCCCCGGCCTCCAATTTCCCACATGCTGACAGCTGCCCAAGTGACTGAGATCTGATAACATCACAGATGGGCATTAGTAGGGGCTTTGAGTGATCTCTTGCCGGAGGTTGGAGAGAATCTATTGCATCCAATAGAAAAGGCCCCTTGTACCTGCAATTTAATCATCATCATCATTTTTCAGCATTATTCAATATCACAAAAAAAGAAAAAAGAAGAAAAGGGCCTAATTGAAAAAGAAAAAATCAATGGAAATTCCTCGAACCATAACAAAACCTTACCACTTTTCACCAGCCATAAAGTATAGTTTGCTAATAAATTGTGGTCCCTCTCAGAACATACATTATTATGGTACCAAAAGTGTGCTATGCTATGTCTTTCTCTTTCAATATTATTCAAACTCTGCTTTTACTAAAGTATTCCACCATAACTTACACAAAAACACTTCCCGGCTTAAAGTAAGTGTTCCATAAGCGTATGCCTACCAAGCTAAGGTGTAAACAAAGATGCTACGAATTGTGCCTTTTTGTCTAAGCTAAAGACGATTCCACTTCATAAAACATCCTAGTTAGTTTTCCCATCAAGACTTTCAATGCTTCTTTTGTTATTTGTTATGTTCTTTTTTAAAATATTTAAACCACGTCGATTTTTTCCTTCTTTTGTTACTTTATACCAGTAATGCATCAACGAGACGTAGATCTTTATCGATTTGCTATATTTAACTAATTAAGGCATAATCAACTAAGTTAATGTTTTGCTTCATTTTAATATTTTTTGAAAGCTCAAAATTTGTTTTTGAATTTTTAATATTATATGCAATCTTTAATCCTTATTTATATGCAATATTTAGAATTTTATCAAATTAATCAAAGATAAAGAATCAAAGTCTTATTTACCCTCTTGCGCTTCAACCCTGTTTGATAGGGAGGAAAATTTAGGACAGACGGATAATAGGGGAGGGACGGAGACCGTTTGAAAGGAAGGGAGGAAGGAAGCCTCTTCCCTCCGGGCCCCCCCATATTCCTTATTCCTAGAAGTGGAAGGAGAAAGAGGAAAAAAAGAACCCTTGGAATAAAAATTAATTTTCTTTTACAAATTAAAAAAAGAAGAAGAAGAAGAAGAAAACTCTTTTTAATAGAAGGGTATAACAGTAAAACATGATATGGCTCGAACAAATTAAATGAGGGAAAGGCCAATTTCCTTCCTAGGGTTGCCTCCATCCCTCCTTCCTTCCCATCCATTTTTTCATCAGTTGTACTAAACAAAGCATTGTAAGTGCTTAGAGGCTTACACCTCATCTCACAAGGTATAAATCCCAAGGTCAAAAATTTTGCCTTCAACCACACTACAATGATGAATTGTTCTATGACATTTTTGCCAACCAATCAAACTAAAAAATCCATCTCCTGACACAAATAGACCGTTTTATGTACAAAAAATAACTCTAAACAAATCTCAAGATTACCAACAGATGTACCGCCAAAAAAAGCTACATGCAAGTCAAGGTCCTTAGCATGCTTGATTATGCAATATCCAAAAAAATTTGGATCCAAATCCTTGTCCTTAAAAGTAGAGCTTGAACAGAACTAAATTTTCCTCAGTCAGCACATGAAATAGCGTGCATCTCTCAACCCATTTGCTATAATGAACCTATAGAAAACCTCAAATATAGTTTCAACTCCATGAGAACTCTCGACTTATTGAGAGAGAAGTTTTCTTTCTGATGTTTTCTTAAATAACTTTTTCCAGAGAATGGAGGTGAATTTCTTTCAGCTTGGTGACAAAGTTTGCATGAATAGCATTAATGAGAAAGGATATGATACATGTGGTTTGACTGAAGCTATGGTCTTGGATAAAGCAAAATGGAAAAATAGAAGCCAGCTCAAGTAGTTGGAAAAAGGTATTGCTGAGTTGCTAAAGATCTCTCTAAATGGACTTCCTCTTATTTTCCAAATCGTGTATCATATCACATATCAAAATCTATATTTTCCATGTTGTGTAGTGTGTATATGTTTAGAAAAGGCCAAATATGTATTATATCGATTCACAGCATAAAAAATAAAAATAATAAATTTTTTTATTTATTTTAAAAAGACGAGGAAAACCATAATTAAAAATTTGTTGATATACTGGGCCCACCCCACCATGCATATTCATGACGTATATTATTCACCCATCAATGGGTTCCAAAAGAGAGCATCTCCTTATGACACATGGACCAGCGAAGTTGTGACACGTGACTTTCTCTGGAACCTTCTCAAGATGTGACTGTACCTTAAGAGGTTAACAACAGACCTTGAAATTGAAGATCAATCAGTAGGAGCAAGAGTGAGGTTATCCTATAAGAATTACTCTAGGAGTTATCTCCCACAAACAATCTCAACCTTGATTTCCACCACTTTTCTATGTGCTACCTCGGCACCCCTACCTAAGCCACCTTCAGGCGCACAAAAGCTAACATATTCTATAATTGACTCCCTCGAATAGGGTTCGAGGAGCTCTCTGAACTCGTTAAACGGCCATGATCTGACCCCCAGGTTACATTAAGATCCTCACTAGGATCCAAGAGGTTTTGTATCTTAGTAACTACAAACGGAGAGGTAGCGGAACATAATTTCCTGCCACAACCTATATAGGCAGTCTGAAAAAAGATAGAAGCCAAAAACCTCCATGACATGTGCTTGCTACTTGTCACACTGGTCTCTTTATGTCACGTGTGCTGGGTATTGCCAATTATCCTCCCTACTGTGGAACTCCTGTAGCTCATTTTCCTAAAATAGACAGCCTCACCTGCCTCATATGAAAATATATGAGGAAAGGGGCAGTGAGCTCATAATCCTCTTAATTTTGTCTCATTTCCAATACCACCACCGTCTCTCTCCCTCACCCATAAGGCTGCCTCAAGTTTTATCCTAATTCAATCTCAAAGGACTTCCGTTATTCTACGTGTAATACCCATTCTCCAAAACCCTACACAAACACTTACAACTGACAAACAGGAAATAATTTTTTAAAAAAAGAGTGGTGATTTACATTATAAATGGAGTGGAAATATTCAATTCCTGATTTAATCTTAAAAAATAAAGGGTTTTTGGGTATATAATTCTATCAGTGGACTGATTTTTTTTTTTTCATTTTCATCTGAGCATGAAGAATTTCACATCCTCCTTTGCCATGGTATCCCCTTTTTTCCCCCTAGTTGAGACCCACCCACCCACTTTGCACCTATGGGACTTACCCTTGATCTTCTACTTTAGAAGGTGAGGAAGTACCACTACGCTACAGCCCTTGGTGGTCCTTGCTATCCTTTTTTTTTTCCATAAAATATTTCTTTTTCCACAAGGAAAAAATAAAATGATATCAATAAGATATTCTTTCACAACATGCCATTACAATCAATTGCATCCATACATATACTAACAACAAAACTCTATGATAAGACAAAGATTTAATCGTTTCCAACAATTAACTGTGATGGGAAGAGAAAAAGAGAATCTTATTTGCAAAAGTTTTACCATGACCTAGACACTAATGCTTGGACAATATAGCAAGTTTGATGTGTCAACCTATCATTTATATTTCAATTTCTCAATCACGAACTTCTAGAAGTTAATTTTTTTTCAAAATGCCAAATCCTGTTGCATAAAAATTGCAGGGAAAAAAATAATGGTTAGACCTTGTGTAAAGGCCAGAAATGATGGTATTACATTCTAAATGCTAGAAGAGTAGATAATTGTTGTTGTTTTTTTTTTTTTTTTTTTTCATTGGCAAGAAACTCACACACCCATTTGACTCTATGGGCACTTGAACCCTCACCATCCACTTTGTGAGGAAGAGGAAATACCATTAGGCTACAAGGTCCTTGGTGAAGAGTATACAATTTCATTAAGGAGGAACAAGTAACAAAGAATCCTTTTGATCTTCACATTCCATTAAAACAATAGTATTGTAATGCTGATAAAAATATGTTTAAATTAACTTTCCTTAAAGATGCCACAAAATATTAATAACTTGTATGCATTTTTATGTATCGCATCATGTACTACATGTATTCTGTAACATAAAATTGATGGGATACGTATTGGCCATTTGTTTTGATTACCTCTAACATTCATAAAATCATATGGTACCTTGTGTTTCATTTATTAACAACTTATGGTAAACTTCTTATACAAGTTGCCATCATTGTGTTGTTATCGTCAGATATCCTAGCAACCAAGGGACCAAGGCTGAGTAGAGCAAAACAATTGTCAACCTATGTTTGATCAGGCTGGACCAAGTCCACCTAGGCCTAAAACAACCCTCAGTGGACAAGTCCAAAAAGCTCAATATTCATGTTAGCTCAACTTTGTACTCCCAATGACAAAAAAAATTTAAAATCTTTGAATTTTGATCCAAATGCTATTTAAACTTTAGTTTATGCTTATGCTTCCTATTTAAATAGAAAATAATCATAAAAAAATAATAATAATAAATAACTTGAAAATGACAAACGCAAGCAAAACTAACCAGGACAAAAGTCGTAAATCAGAAGCAACTGCCACCAAATTTTGGTTTTCCATGGCACTCAGCGGAATCCATGAGATAGAAGAATCCTTGAAGCCACATGAGCGGAGAAATGTTCCAAGTTGCTGTTTAATTAAATCAAAACGTTCTTTGGAGTATTCCACAGCATCCATTTTGTTAATTGCAACTATAATGTGATCAACACCAAAACTTCTAACAAGCCGTGCATGTTCCCTTGTTTGCCCTCCAGTGATGTCCATACCTGTTTCAAATGAACCGACTGAGGCATCTATAACAAGAATTGCGGCATCTGCTTGCGTTGCCCCAGATATCATGTTTGGAACGAAATCTTTATGGCCTGGGGAGTCAAGCAGAACAACATGATATCTTTTAGAGTCGAAATAAGCAACAGCTACTGTCATCGTTATTCCTCTCTCCCTCTCTTCTGCACTCTCATCCAATGTCCATGCATAAGCAAAGGACCCCTTTCCCTGATTGGATAACAAGAAGAACATCAATCCAGTAACCCGAGCTCTAACAGCACGAAAAGTGCTTGAGCACACAAAATAGAAAAATAATTTTAGTTAGATTACTTGTATTTTAGCCTCTTTTTCATATTTATGCATTTCCTTTTTTGAGATTCGTCCCAAAAGATGTAGCAACCTTCCCGAGAGTGTTGACTTCCCAGAATCAACATGGCCGACCTAAGATGATAATTAAATTAAAATGAAATTACCCAAAAAAACAGATTAAAAACAAAAACAAAAAACAAGGAGATGGACTATGAAGAAACAAACTAATTCTGATCACATAAGTACATCAGACGGATGACTTACAATAGCGAGATTTAATTGAGTCAGTATATCTTCTGCTTGGTCAGGTAGCATCCATTTCTCAGGTTTATACTGAGAATATGATATAGCTCTTCCAGCATTAACATTCTTCGAGTATTCAGATTTAAAATTCAAAGACATATTGTCAAGGCTACTGGAAAGACTTTGTGGCCCATGCCCATTAACTGAAGAACTGGTCTCCTCTACACTAGCATTTCTGCTCTGTGACATTGATGAAGAAGAGCTATCAGACTCTTTAGCATGTGACTGACATTTGATTGCAGTGTTCTTCTCTATGTTACTTGACGGAACATCCAAAGAAGCTGACTTGTTGAAGTTCGCTGCAAAAATAAAGTAACATCATAAAGAGAGTATTGTCACACACTAACACAGGAGTGTTAATGAAGGAACAAGATCCAATTAATCTAGCCCACTTCTTTCACCACCAAAAAAAAAAAAAAAAATTGCAAAACAAATTATACTTGCACTAGTTATGTATGCATAAAAATTGCCCAAATGCGAAATTTTTAAGAACAGGGTATAGTGTTTGTAAGACTTAAACCATCAGTTTTTATGACAATAGACAGGTAAAGGGTATATATCTGACACATGCTATTCTTGTGTTCCAAGAATAATAGTGGGAGTTGGGCCGAGGTGGTGAGGAGTGGAGAAATGTGGTTCATTAATGTAGGTCTGTTCGATTACTTGACATTGCACAAGGCAAACAATAAAAATTTAAATTTAAATTTAAATTTACATAAAGATCACTTCACCCTCCTCTCCCTTCCTATTGTACCTAAGACATTTCAATCACATCCTTGAAAATATACTTAACCGAAGCCAAAGAAATCTTTTTCCAATCACTTGAGATTGGCTACATGAATCCTGTTCATCATTCCAGTCTATTTAGGGTCATAACCGTAGTCAAATCACATGCTATCATATATTTTCTATCTCAACCGATGTTAATTTAGGTCTTACCCAAGCATAACCTGCACTTATTGATCTTCGATGCACATGACCAAGCAACCATTTTAATTGATTCCCTCTCATTTTATACACAATTTATGCAACTTCAACCATTTCACAAAATATTTCAAATTTTATTCTTTCTTCTCTTGCCGCACATCCATCGTTCACATTTCAGCCACTCTTTTCATGAGTACGTTATTTCATATTTGCCAAACATTCACTGTTATCAAGTATGGCTCATTACTCATGTAATAATTGTTTTCTACTATTTACCTTTCAATTTCAGATGTATAGTCGGACATCTGTCAAAAGCATCCTCTGTCTAACCCAGCAAGCTTTAATTCTGTGAATGGTCTAACTTAAGTAACAAAAATGTTCACCTTCTTGTATCTCTTTACTCACAATATTCATTAGATTCCCACTTGCTTTTCTACTTTTGCTAATATTACCTATGTATATTCAACTTTAGTCCAAGTTATCGCAAACCCTCGTAATTCTATAGTGTTTGACACCTCTAATTTAGCAATTATTCTTGTTCTACTTTCATTAATTAAATCTCAATCATCAACATATAGCATACACCATATAACATCACCCAGATTTGTTTTGTCAGTTTATTAAATGATATAAGCCTACGATAGTAAAAGTTTACATGTTTCTCCTAAAGTTGCTCTTACTAGGAAATATATAGAAATAAAACTTTTTAAAAAAAATAAAATGAATTAACCTGCTAGAATAATTGTGGTTTCAATAGAAATAATTAATAAAGAATTCATAAATTAAAAAAAAAAATGTAAATAAAAATACTTTATCATGCATCCTCTTTCTTTGAGGCATTATATCACAATATTGTAGACATTATGTTCTTCTACAGTGCTGCAAAGCTAATTAACTGACATAAAATTCCTAGTTAAGGACCCACAACAAATTGATATACCAAGATCACGCTGGACACTAGCCAAAGTTTATTTGGTCCTTCTACTAGTAGTTAATACAAATAATTATATAATTATATTAAAATAGGGTTTTTTGATTGATGAAATGGTAACAACTCAAACTAGCAAAAAACGTGAGGTCCAAGTCTTGAAAGCATTCACATTGTAATATCAAAGATTAGGTATGTCACAAAATTTCCCTCCAGCACCCTGCATCCATGGAGGAGACATTGTGTAATGCAAAAAAAAATAAAAAATAGCAGCATTGAACTGAAAATGCTACGCTTTATATAAATGTCATCTGAATATTAGGTAGAAATATATATTATATATAACATGCATGCTTTGCTTTGCAAAGCTATGTCCATCATTCCTCATTGTCATAATTGTAGTATCAGAGCACTTGGTCCCCATTCTCCAATCCCTCAAAATATCAATACAGGAACAAAAATCATGAATCGACAAAGACAACTTTCAGAAATCACAACAACGCTAATGCAATTTTTCGCTGATACTATTCCCTGCCCTAAGCAAAATCTAGAAATATCCCTAATAATTAATATTTAGTACATTAACAATTTTTATAGCTGAATTTTTTTTAAAGAACCAACTTGGTTCCATAGAGATATAGAATAATTCAATTATTTATTGATTAGTATCATTAATTTTTACAAAAAAAAAAAAAAAAAGGTCACTACCCAGTTTGGTCCCCATTGATTGAGAGTGCTAGAAGCGATAGATTGAATATAGACCTAATCTTTGGCATTATTTGCACAATGTGGCTGCTCCCAGGATTTGAACCCTGAGTTCTAACGATCGACAACTAGAGCATTTTACCACTACACCAAGCAACACCCCTTCTTTATTAATTATTACAATGGATATATATAATTTGCATACACTATCTTGGAAGAAAAGTTTAACACTATCTTCTCATGTAAACGAATGATTTGCATGTCTCACCAACTTTGAAGTTAATAATTAGTGCAAAAAATACTTCCTTTTAGCTTAGAATAGACTTAGTATACAAAAGAAATACATTGTCCATGAAAAGGTTACAAAAAAGCTCCGGTACACTTACCTATGGAACCAAAAAAGTCTTGCCTAATCATTATAGGAGAAATTCTACAATGATACTTTATTATTCAAGAATTGATTTTAAACATTCTTTGTCAGTGTTGTCCAATAATGCATAAATTGACTCTCTCTAGATCAGGATTCTCTCAACTTGTTTTTACAGATATCTTAAAAATAATATCCATTCCACGGTAAGTCCTCAGCTGGCATGACTTAAAAAATTAATACAAAAAAATAAAAAATAAAAAACTACTTGTGAAATAGTTCTTTAAGGAGAAAAAAAAAAAAAAAAATCGAAATTTCAAGCAAACGCGCACAAACCCACAATATTGCCCAGTAGAGCTCAACTTCTCCTTTGGGGAGGAGAGATCATACCATTTGGGCTAATGCCCACTGGTTCGGTGAAAAATTACACCACTTAAAGATTCAATTTCTTCAAGCCTTCTAGTTTTCAAAAGGCCGAGAAGATACAAGTTACAAGCTCCTTTTCAATAAAGGAAATAATTCACAGATCATTGACATATGAACTCTCAATTTTCCCTTTTTTCTCATTTTGGAGAGAGGGGGGGGGGGGGGGGGGGGGTGCGGTTTTGGAAATTAGTCCCCCTTTTTCTTTTCTGGACCAACAATCACAGGTGCGTTATTTCAGACAAAATCACAGCTATCTAAGAAAAGGATTTCACACGAATTTGGAAAAATAAGAAAGGGGATTGTTCCAGGTCATATTACCCATACAAAATAAAATTGGAATACAAGTCTACAAGGAAGGTGACACTTTTTTATTATGTGTTCCAATAAGTAATGAAATCAACTCAGCACCCGTCATTAGTAGCTTTACAGACAACACTTTACGTGTCGAGCAAATTAGATAATCCACTTAATGAAAGCAAAATGTCTAACACCAATGAAGAGACAGGGCCATGGAACCTGGCTCAGGTTTCAACAGTGAGGACAATAAAAATTCTCAATTTCCTTCTACATAAATGTAGCAAGAAACAACAATTTCCCATCAGAGAGAACTTTAACATGCAAATTAAAACAAAGCAAAATAAGTACCTAAAGAGTATAATTTGAAGACCATGTATGACCCTTTGAGCTAAATAATCACCTGTTTAGTATCAAAGCTTGTTCTGTAATAAACTCTTTGAAATTTGATCTCTTTAAGAGGATTAATTCAGCAAGGAAATCCAAACTAGTGACCTGATCATTATCTTTCTCCTACCTTAATTTTGCAATTTTTAATTTTATTTTTTAAAAATACTGTCAAATAACCTTAGAAGCACAGACACGGATACGACATGACACAGATACAGCGACACGGCAAATTCTAAAAAATTAGGACACGGACATGGCGGGGACACGGCAAATAAGAAATATATTTTCTATATATATATGATGTCATACTTTAAGAAATTAAGAGTAATATTATTTTTTACAATCTCATAATGAATAAAAATGTGTTTTGCTGGAAAAAATAAAGAATGATAGAAAAATGTGTTTTGCTGGAAAAAGGGTTAAGAAAAGAGAGAGAGAGAGAGAGAGAGAGAGAGAGAGAGAGGATTAGGGTTTTGTTAGAAAAAGAATTAGACCTTAGTTAAAAATAAAGGTAAGAATCCATAGAAGAGAAAAAAGTTCATGGGGTACAGAGGAAAGAGGAAAAAGGAGCAAAAAGAAATTTAATGTGAAAGGAAAAAAAGAAGTATTTAGGGTTTGTGAAGAAGAAGAAAGAAAGGAGGAGGACGAAGAATAAGAAAGAGAAGAGGAGAGAGAGATAGAGAGACCATTCACCGGTAGCGAAGTTTGGTTGGTGGGACAACAAGAGAGTCAAAGATGATCATGCAAGGGTTTGAACCTTTGAACTAAAATATAAGAATAAATATCTAATTGTTTGAATATAAAATTGTTTTATGAAACAATAAGTTTTTAAGTAATTATGTAATTAAACAACTCCTAATATTTACACTTCAACTCAACATCGTTTTTAAAACTTTCTTAAAAATCCCCAAAGAGTGGGACACCTGTGTCGGACACGTATCCATGGCGTGTCGGAAGTGTGTCCACAATATGTCTAGATATTTGAAAAAATATAAAACATTCGGACACGTATTTTGGCGTGTCCGACACATGTCGGGGCATGTCTGGCGCGTGTCGATGTCCGACACGGATTCTTTGCCCTTCTAGGCGTGTTTGTGCTTCCTAGCAAATAGTTCAAGCAAATACTAAAAAAGCATCCAACGAAACCCAAACTATATGAAGGCGAACTCTCCGCAGATGATGTGGCACATGTTTTGAATTCTTTGATCAATTAATCTTTTGCTTTAAGAGAAGTGGGAAAAAAACAGGTTACTTTGTTTGTTGTGGTGGTGGGGGGGGCATATAGATATTGAGAACTGGAGAAAAAATTCCAATATTGCCTACCACAGACCTCAAAATTATCCCGGAAGCCCTTAGACAGAAGAGTAACACCCCCTATTTTCAGTTTTCACATCCAGTCCATCTAGGTGCCTCTCATGCACATGGCATGCCAACTCTGCTGCCAATTAACCTCAACTTCAGCCATAATAATCAATGTGCACACGGCTTTTTAAAATAAGTCCTACTCTTCATTCTTCGAGCATGTGAAAGAGCATCGGAACCCTTCCCAATTCACCAACTGACAGCAGACCAATCCTCAAGGAGGCTATATACCTTGTTCTTACCATAGAGAGAGAATTATTTGGGTACCAATTTCAATTGACATCCACACCCCTCATGAAAAGCAAATAAAGACTCCCTAACTTGGATATTTGATTGGCTTTTGAAAATGAGATCAAGACGCACTACGTGGAACAACAGATGGACAAACTTATCCTCCTAGTAATCCAGGCAATTAAATCTACATAGTTGAACAGTGAACGAAAAGGTAGTCTAACACGTTTCAAGTCTATATATAATAATTATTCAACAAATAATTTCCATGGAATCCAGCCGAAACTCAAATTTGAGACCACTAGAGTATACCTTTTGAACCCATTTTGGAGGCACGCATTCCATTTGATACCGAATCATCTGGAGATGGGACGTCAAACTTGAAAGGGGCTGTTATCATCAACATATGTAAGGTTGAAAATATATATATATATTTTCATAAATAAGGTTGAAAATATTTGGAAAAGACAGTTTTTCTCAGAATGAGTTTAATAAATATATCAGCTGAAGAAAATAGAGAAGACGTCAAACTTGAAAGGGGCTGTTATCATCATCAACATATGTAAGGTTGAAAATATTTGGAAAAGACAGTTTTCTCAGAATGAGTGTAAAAGATATATCAGCTGAAGATAATAGAGAATCCTATTCTCCAATATAAGATAATTGATATCAAACACTATAGAACAATATCCTGTGTTAGAACATGTTCAGACCTATATTCAAACGATAATGGTTTTGACAGCTAAAAGCCTTATGAAAATCATCAACAGTTCCTAGGATATTTCCAAGCTTGTGGAAGTTATTGCGCTCTTCCGTCGAAAAATCATCATTCTGTTGTTGAAAGATCACAGCCTTTTTTGGTATGCGATGCAGCAATGATGCAAAAAGAGACTTGGCCGTTATGGATGCTCCAGAATCATTGCACATGCCATCAGCTGCATGAAAAAGATCTATTCTATAAAGGGACAATGAACATGAGATGAAACCCACGTAACAAGGATGCAAACTTAGGTACCGGTGCCAAAAAATGGATGTGAGCTGGTGATTACAAGGATGGTCGATCAATGACTCAGATTTTTGCTTCGAATCCAATCAATAGTCCAGTCTTAATAAGGATCCAATTCATATTATTAACAAGTAATGACGATCTAACAAATGTGTGTACTAATGTGACTACAAGGCTGAAAAATGCAAAGAGGCTGAGTATGAAATAGAACAATCCATACAACTCAATTCTCCAAAGATTAAGACAACATCAATAAAAAATGAACAAAGTAACTCTGGAATACCTGTAGTCTTATTGCCATTGTTATGAATGTTAACCAAAGGATTACGAAGAACCCCGCATATATCACATGAAGACATTCCCTCTTCATTATCAAATGTACAAATGGAGCAACGCCAAACCCCAAGCTTAATGCTATTATGTTTTGTCTCAGGTGCTGCAGCTGCTGCAACAATGCATTCATCAAATAGTTAATATAATAGAATGTAAAATAGTAGCTCCACAAGCCTGAGATCTTTATACCAGGACAAGTACATACGCACACACACACTTATATTATGGTTGTTAAAATCGCAATCCGTATGTTAGGATCATACGATCCAAAGTTCTAAATCAATCTGAATCACATGAAAAATCGCTTGAAAGTATAACCGATAGGATTGTAAAATCATATAGGATGGTACAATTCTACTGGTCCAACTAAATGGAGTTGTTTTCTTCTTCTTTTGGATTTCTTGGGCTGTAGCCCATTCTAGACAAAGAAACTTAAGACTTTTAAGTATAAGGCCCAACTCTTTTAGCCTCAATTTCATTCCAAAAAAGAAGGGGGAGGGGGGAAGCAGAGACCCAAAGTTAAAAATGTAAAAATCAATAGCTAAGGCTCACAACTGTTGCAATGCTACCCTCTTGAGCTACATTCTCCAACATACTGAACTTGTTCCTACATGTGTGTTGTAGTATCTCAAGGTGTTTTTTGTGTTTTATCTTTTTGTCTGTTTATTTTATATTTTTATTTAGAAACTTTGTTTTAGTTATTTTCTACTAGTTTTGATCCCTATCCTATGGATCCCCCATCAATACTATGCAGAGTCCTGAATCCTCGATCCTGACAACCTTAAGTGTTTATATAATATATTTAATAAGAGAACTATTTTTGAACACACACACAGATCTATATATACACATGTATATGCATATGGGCTGTCCAACTTATCATCTTACCATATTGCAATCTCAAAATTTCTTCATGACCAACAGGCCAGTGGCCTAGCGGTATCAGACCCTTACTTCCCAAAGGGAGGTCAAGGGTAACTAAGGGGGAAAAAAATTCTTCATGCAACTAACTATTAACTAATGTTCAAAAGAAAGAGGAATAGGATGCCCAAAGGCACAAAACAATAAACATGAAGCCCATTATTAGTTAAAATAAACCACCATATATTAATAATTATACACAAACAGCCTCTAATATCTTGTATTTCCCAAGGTATCAACTCGATTCAATAATATGCATTGCAAAGATATCTAAATCTCACCTCAATTAAAAAAAGCCTTTTCCCAACTATTTGGGTAAGCTACATGAATCTGAATCATGTTTCTAATTCCTCTCTATCTAGGGTAATAGTCTCATTCGAAGCACATTCTATCAAATCTTTCCTTACCATCTCAACTAATGTTAGTTATGGTCCTTCCCTTTCCCTAAAATTACCATCAATGCAGACCACACCACTGTTACATATAGATTCAATTAATGGTTTTTTGATAAGTAAGATTGTATCAGAAATGTTCAAATGGGGAATGCAGCCCACAAAAGAAGAACAGGGGCCAAATAGAGCCCCTAAGCTCTCAGAATGTCCAAAAATTCAACTAACTCCCCCATAGATTTACAATTTCTCCCAGAATCCCAAGAAAAAAAGAGAACTAAGAATACAGAATTGAAGTACCCCAATAGGAGTCCCCTCTCCATTGAAAGATCTCCTATTCCGCTTCTTCCACAAACAGCACCAAACGCATAAGAGCGCCACCCTCCACAAGTCATTGGCTTAGGAATCCACTGTACAACCTCTCCACGCCTCAATCATATCCCTTGGAGACCAGGGCATAACCCACTGAATCCCAAACAAAGCAAAAGGCAAACCCCAAACAGACAAGGATAAGACACCCAAAGTTCCAAACACACAAAAGAATAGCACGACCTAAAAGGCAAAACAGACAAGGATAAGATACCCAAACACACAAAAGAATAACACGACCTAAAAGGCAACACTCAAGAACCTAGAAATGGGCAGAAAGAAGACACATCCAAGCACAGCCTGCCATAACTCTAAAAAAAATTTTTTAAAAAAAACTATACACACACACTGTAATACACAATCCATATTATTTATCAAATAAATAAAAATAAAAATAAACAATCCATATTATAATTAACATACTTATTATCAAAATAATATATGATATATTATATCCTATTTCATGAATTATCTATCATAAAATTATGCTTTCATATAATATTACATCTCATTAAAATAGATAAACACATACCAATTCATCATAAATTAATATTCAAGTAGACCACATTCTGTTTTCCTAATAAATCTTTTACAGATCTGGTTGACTTATCAAAGTTCTATCTGTTAGTTATGGTTTCAAACAGATTGAAATTGTTGGTGGATATCAAATTCAGCACCAAATCTTGCACTCTGGACAATTGACTTGGACTGGAACTGTGAACCTGAACTATTAACAAATTCATGCTGTACATATTATAGGATACTAATAAAATTTAGATGACCAATCAATTAAGGCAAGCTAAAGGAAGTAAAATACTTATAGGAACTTAACAAAATCCATCACTTCTAAAATTTTAATTTAAAGCAATCTTCAAGAAATAAATGAAGCCATATTAGGTCAAATTAATGGTAAAATGGAAGAACCCAAGGATATAAAACCCAAAAGAAAAGTGTCAAAGGATCCTATTAGAATCACACTAGCTTTTAAATGCAAAAGGGGGGGAAAAATTAAAAAAATAGAGGACAATAAGATAGAAATGACAAATAACTTGACACGTGAACCCCACCCAGATTAATGAAGTTGGTTTATGCAACTAGTTATAAAGTCTGGATTAAGAAAATAACTCACAGTTTGGTTCTGCATCAGAATCAAAATCGTAATCTTCATCGTAATCTTCGTAGACATCATAGTCTTCATCATAGTTAACTCCATAATTAACTTTACGAGGCATGGTCCTGATTTCTATCTATCTAATATATAAAAAGAAAAAGGCTCAATTAGATATACATTATCTAGACACACCTCAAACATAACAGAATATCAAACAAAAAGAAGCTAAATTGCAAAGAAAAAGTCACCATGAGGAATTTTTGCATTTAAAAAGAGAGTTAAAATATAACCAACCTTAGTCAAGCTGATGAGTACACCATCATCAAGGGAACATAATCTCACATCTAAATCATGCACGAGGCAATCCTCCAATGGAATTAATTAATTCTTTTCACCATCGAAGAGTGTTCTTAAATTATTTAGATGGCAATCCTTATAAGGTCCAGGGCTGGCATATAAGTCAGTTTAACAGCTGGAGACAATAATAACCTTCCCATCAGTATAAACTGCACCAACCAAAGAATAACATAATTGAAATTGTTTAATTATTAAAAAGTAGCAAAAATCATATTCTTATAACTTTTGTTACTTCGGTTTCCAAAAAAGGCCATGAAAAACACAATGGAAAACAGGGGAATCTCACATAATCAAAGTCACCCGGAAAAAGATTTTTCAAATGAAAGGGATTCTTAGACACATTACTTATTTATCTATTAGGCATGTTTCAAATTCAACAAAAGAAATACTAATATAACGTAAAAGAAGGAATCAAATATAAATTATAATGGAAGGTACACACAGAGAAAAAAAAAACGATAGGGATACATAGTTACATTACTTTTCCATGTCTCAATTACCTAAGCAATCAGGACCTATCAAGTATGACCACGGAAACTAAAAATATATATATTGCAGCATGATAAGAGTTAAATCAGAAAAGATAATCATGAACAATAATACTGCAAGTTTCATAGAAAAATCATGATGGTCCAGAATTTGAAATTAAGTTATCATGAATATAGATTGACCTATTTAACAGGTAAAAATAGAACATATATCATGATGGTCCAGAATTTGGAATTAAGTTATCCTTAATATAGATTGACCTATTTAACTTTTAAAAATATAACATATCTCAATTGGACTGGTTAATTATCCTAGTCTATCACACATTTCAAAACACTAGGTATCCTTCCAATATTTCAGTTCAACAAAAGAAAATGGAACCAAACGAATAGAAAATTTTCAAGTCATAATAAAATATCAAATATATAGAATTGTCTACAAAACAAAGTTCAACTAAATCAAACCAATGCCATAACATTAGCACCAATATTGTATCAACACATATTCAAGCTGATACAGCATTCACAGAAACACAGAACTCCGCCAACAAATCCGGGAAAAAGAGAGAGCAAAAGAGAAGATTTTTCAAAAGCATATCAAAACTCTACGCTGCAAAATACAATTTTTTTTACAAAGTACCAGAATTGGGTAGAAAAAAGAACAAGTTGGGAAGTGATTGAGAGATACGCTTCAAATTTTGAAATTTACAGATGAAAAGAGCAATCTCAAATCCTAGTGAGGAGTTGTCATTGTCTGTGTCTCTGACGGTTGATCGAAGAATGAGGACAGAGGTGATTGAGAGAGGTCTGCAGACGAAGAGAGAGAGTTAGGGTTTGAGAAAAGATATCGCTTGACAATCACATTCAACTTTTTCTGTGCAAGCATTAAAAAGATAAAAAAAAAATAATAATAATATCAATTGAGAAAGAACCAAACCAAAACCCTAATTCCTGAATTCCATTGAATGCCAGTATAGATTAATTTAGTGGAGAGCAAAACCAAACCAGTATAGAGGTATGGCAATTATGAAGCTTTTTGAGATCGGCGGGGTGGTGACGACGAGTTGTGGTCCGCGGCGAGGAGACGTGGTCGGAATGCACCGCCAGCGACGGTGGTCGGGAGATATGGTCGGGCATATGATGAGAAAGAGGGGTGAACGTTCGAGAATATGGCGCGCAGTGGGGAAATCATAAAGCCAAACGCGTGTGAGAATATACGTAGCGTAGAGTTACAAAAAAGAACAGTGACAATTTCAGTGAGTAACTAGCTGGTAGTCTCTAATTTGTCAGGATTAAATAAATAAATTAAATAAATAAGTACACAACGAAAAAGCATATGTAAATAGAGTCTGCAGCCACGATTAAAAAAATAAAAATAAAAATAAAAATAAATAAATAAATAGAGTCTGCAGTTGTGGACCTGTGGTGCTAGCTTAGCATAGGATGTGTATTGTTTGGAATTTTTGGCCCGTGTCCAAAACGTATCACCCTCATTTTTCCTCCCTTTTAACTTTTAACTCCCTAATTTCCCTCTTATTTCTACATCACCAAGTGTGAGAAGTCGGAAGAAGTGTTGGTTAGATATTTAAAATAATTAAATTTATTTATAAATTATGGACATATAGATGAAGTGTTGGACATATATTTAAAAAAAAATAATGATAGGGGAATTGAAAAGTAATTCTTGAATTAACACCGAATTTGACGGTTGGCTTTACTTATTACCTGTTAAATAATTATTTTTTGAAAACTGTTTAAATCGATGAGGTGGACAAAAACACGTCAAATTCGAGACTTATTCGGGAAAATCATTCGGTGATTTTATCATTTCCCTTCGAAAACAAAACCTAAGATGTTTGAGATGAACATGGCCACTTTGAGAATCAATCAAATTATTCTAGACCCAACCAAATTCTATACAAAACTAGCCCACATTCTCTAAGGACCAACTGGCTCTATCATGAAACCAAAAAAAAATTCAAAAGGTTCTCGATTTAACAATTCTGTTGTGTTTTTCATTATCTTCAATAAATTGGTGAAAACCAAACTTAGTAGTTGTGAATCAGTTGATTCACATTGAACCAATCAATTCAACAAACTATGATCATACGCATATATGCACATGTCACTTTTATGCTATATTTGGTTAGAATGAAGGATTGAGGGAGGATGGATGAGAGGGCAGATATATGATGCTTCTCATATTTGGTTGGAGGAAAGGTAAGAATGAGATGAAGTAAGGAGGAATAAAGTATTCTTCCTAACCGATTGTTTTTTTATCTATTTAGAATTGAGCAGAGGAGACGAGAGAAGAAATAATAACTAATCTAATAAAATGTAAAACCAATTTTAACCTCTAATTATTTACCAAATAGCTTGTTATATCTTACATAAATTATTTCAGACATAATGAGGGTATATTAGTAAAAAACAAATAATAAAATTTTTCTTCCCTTCCAATCAAAAAAAAAAAAATCACCTCATTCACGTCTCCTTTCTTAAGGTTTTTTCATCCATCCCTCGTCCTCCTTTTCGTCTATTTTTCTATCCCTCCAACCAACACAATTGCAGGCAGTAGGGTTCACCACCCCTATGTAAGACACTCGTTATTCAAGTGCCATAAAAAAAATTCTAATTCGATTATAGGATATATTATACCATCCACATTATAATCAATTAACTTCACCTTTTTATTATTTCATGTCTTACTTAAAAAAAAAAAGGTCCTTTTTTTTTTTTTTTTTTTTTCATTTGCCTTACTAAAAAAAAAAAAAGGTCAATGCATGCTTATATAACCACATAACAATCCTTCATAATATATATATATATATATATAATATTACTCTAGTCAAGGAGGAAACTTAATAGCTTTGGATATTTCAATTTCTTTCTTTTCTTTCTTTTGACAAAAAGAAAGAGCCTTGATAGTTTGATTATTTAAAATTAGTTTTCAAAAATTTTGAAAACATAAAACAATCTTTAGACAGATCTAAAAGGTAATTCTTTGGATCAACTTTTTAAACTCAATTTATAAAACAGCCAACCAAAAAAACTGTCTCTAGTTGTTTTCTCAATGATGAAGATAATTTTTTTTTCCCACAAAAATTTTTGTGACAAAATGGAGAATGACAGATTAAATTCCTCCCAACGGGCCACCTGAGCCCTTTGATTGCGGACGTCCCATGGATAGGGTTGTGGATCTGGGCCTGAGCATTCTGGTAATAATCCATTTCCATTGGGCTTCTTCTCAATCTTACAAATTGGTCATGGTACTCCAACTTCAATATTATCTGCCCCTGTAAATGCAACATGAGGGACCACTAAATTGTCAAATGTTATATAAACATGAGCAATAACCAAATGCATATGAACAGAGACCAGTGAAAACTCTTGTTTCATTTCTCTCACTAACTGGCCAACTCAATGTACAGACAACTTTTTGTGTGCAAACATTGAAAAGATAAAAAAAGATATAGTTTGACGATTACATGCAATTTAATTCACACACTAATGCGTTTATATTCCTATAATTGAATTCAATCTACACGTCAATGCGTTTATATTTCTATAATTGATATACATTAAAGTTGAAAATCACAGGCAATACAATCCACAAACTAATGCGTTTACATTCCAATAGTTGAATTACATTAAAGTTGGGAGTCGGATGGAATCAACCTTTTTTTTTTTTTTTTAACAGTTCACGAGTGTGATCGCATATGCATTGCATACAAATAAATATAAAGATGGTGAATCCCTCGAGTGCTTTGTGCTATAAAGAATTCATAGTATTGCTTGACAATCACAGACAACTTTTTGTGCGCAAACATTAAAAAGATAAAAAAAGAGACATCGTTTGACACATCGTTTGACAATCACAAAGTAATCCAATTCACACACCAATGCGTTTGCATTCCAATAGTTGAATTACATTAAAGTTGGGGGTGGGTTGGATTCCACTTTTTTTTTTTAAACGATTCACGAGTTTTACACTTGTGATCGCATATACATCGCATACAAATAAATATAAAGACGGTGAATCCCTCGAATGCCATGAACTATAAAGAATTCATAGTATCGCTTGACAATCACATGCAACTTTTTGTGTACAAATATTAAAAAGATAAAAAAGATATTGTTTGACAATCACATGCAATCCAAACCACACACCAATGCATTTTCACTCCTATAATTGAATTACATTAAAGTTGGGGGGTGGGGTGGATTCCACTTATTTTTTTATTTATTTTTATTTTTTATTTATATATAACGGTTTATGAGTTTTACACATGTGATAGCATATACATCGCATACAAATAAATATAAAGATGGTAAATTCCACGAATGCCTTGTACTATAAAGAATCTATACTTCAATGTTATTATAATAAACATGACTACCGAACCAAAAAAAATTAAAAAACTCTTGCAAGTTTCATTTTTCCTAAATTCTAAACCATGAAATTGGTAATTTGTTGGAACTTTTTGAATTTTTTTTATGCTAATCAAATGCACATTAAAAAACATACTTTTCTTTCATTCATTTTACATTTTTTTTACTTTCAATTTTTATTATTAACTTTTTATTTAACCAAACGAATCCCAAATAAAAGATAACGTAAGATTTAAATAATATATATGTGTCTATATATATATAGATATATATATAATGTTTTTCTCAAACGGCGTAAAGTAGTTCAATGAGAAGTGTTTAATGTTATGGTGTTCTTTTTTCTACTTTCTTAGTATCAGCAAGGTATGAACTCAACAAGATAACATTAAAATCGAGAGCAGGAGTGTACATGGAGGGCAAACGTTAGAGCATAGCATAAGAGCTAGTTTTCATTATACCCCATTTAAAATTAGATCACATGTAACTATAAATGTTTAGAAAAATTATGTAACTTATGTTATATCTATCGTGATACTCAAGTTTAGTTTTCATTATACCTCATTTAAAATTGTTATGTTATATAAATATCCTTACTTGTGACCTCTAAAGTACATATAAAATTTTAATTTTCCCTGTTTTCAAAAGTAAACACTACGTATAAGTTACGTCACCTCAAAATTCATATAAAATTTTATTTTAGACCTTTCTAACCTACTTTTGAAAGCTCAAATCTTGTAAAATAAATATATAAATTCGTTGTTGGTAAAATTTTACAACAATACATTACGGAGTATTATTTAATTTATTTACAAAATACATGAACATTCTTCGTGAATTAATTCATGATAAATATTAAAAACAAAAAATTAAAAGGATTGTGATACCAAGATAACAATAATGCCAACAACAATAATATTATCACATATACTAATATTTTTAGTTGTCACATGTTAGAGGACAAATTCTATAGCAACTCCTTCTATAAATTATTAAAGTACTTCTCTATTTTTTTCTAAAAAAATTTAAGTTAAAATGCTACATTTTTCTGTTAATAATTTCATCGATAAAGGTAATAATGACATATTTTTCTCAAAGTGGAATCAAAGTAACAATTGTTGAATAAAATTTAATTCTTGAATAATATTTCTTTCTTCACAACTTTTTTTCTTTTACCTATATATAACTCATCTCTTCATCTTCTTTATTTTTTTTTTCTTTTTCTTTTTTATATAAGTTTTCATAACTACTAATTATTTAAGTTTCTTTTCCTCATTTTCCCCCGAAATTGTAATTTCTGACTCCGCCCCTGTTGCTTAAAGCCTCTATTTTCCATCACCATTTTACATTGACTAAAGGTTATATCTATGTTGATGCTTTAAGTTTGGTTGTTTAATGAAAATTTCAAAATGATCAAGTACTATTATATTTGACTACATGGAGTCAGTTTTTACGAATACTTACACAGAAATGTGTGAAATTCACAATATGATAGAATTCACACATGTCTAGGTAAATAGTCAAGCAATTAATTACATCTTTTTCTTTTCGAAATATGAACATGAAAATGACCGTTTTATAAAAAAAATGAATAGGTCCATTTTAAAATTTGAATTTCACCTAAATAGAAGTTACTGTATAATACGTAGTATTCGTCGCTATCACTATACATGATCGATGTTTGCACCATCTGGTAAAAGCCTGACTGGAGTTCAGGTGTGAATTGAGGTGGTACTTTGATAAAGCAACCCACTAAGCTTTGGACCATCATTTATCAAGAAAAGGAAAACACAGACACACAAATTTGGCGGATGGACCACATTCCTTAAAAAGGGTCATTATTCTGTACTCATTAATTAC